CATCGCAGAGAAAACGTGATCGGAAAGTGCTCCGAGCACTATGGAGACATGAGTTTTATGAATGGAAGCCGTTTCCATTCGTATCTGAAGCCCATCGGCTTCTTCCTTCCCACCCCGGGCCTCCACATACTGTCCGCAGAGCTGAACGCCCTTCCAGGTGGAACCCACGGAGGCCAGAGACAGGGGCGGAAGCGGACCCCACACGCACGCCTCAGCGAGGGCGGGAAGGAAGGCGTGCTTAGGGGAAATGACACCTGGAGTTGTCTGTTCACCGATCATCCTCGCTCTGCCCAGGACTCCCCACCCTCCACCGGATGCAGCTGGAAGAGGGTCAAGCTGCAAAGCAAACAGGCCGCTTCCTGAGGTTTTCATGCAGGTGCGTTTATGATGGCACCCTCCCTGCCACCCAGGTCTGCAAGGACAGGGTGGGGGGAGCCTGCCTGCTCTGTGTGGAAGCTTCTGGAAGCATCGGCCAATCCCAAGGCAACCCAGAATGGGCCAGTGGGAATCCATAGGCCCAGAGGACAGCCGTCAGCCACCGACGCCGAGATGCTCAGTCCTGTGGCACCTCGGCCTGGGTCGGGGGCTAAGTCTTCCGGCAAGTAGAGAGGACGCAGGTACGTTGGCAAGAAAAGAAGCCAATGTTTATTGTCTCTCCGAATCCCACGCTTGAGGGCCAGGGTTCTCAGTTGGAGGCAATTTTGCCCCCAGGGGACATGTCTGGGGACATTTTTTGGTATCACAGCTGGGCAGAGGAGGGAATGTCAGAGGCACCTAATAGGTGGAGGAATGCCACTGAATACCCTACAGTGCTCGGAACGGCCCCCACGGCATCCGGCCCCAGCTGTCAACAGCCCGAGGCCGAGGACGCCAGCCCTAACGGCCCTAGCCCTTAGGGTGTCTCCGCAGGACTTCCTCCTGGTACCCCAGGGCTCAGACAGGCAGCAAAGGGGGTCACCTCAGGTTGACAGCTATCTACCCCTCAGCCACGCGAACTCTGTTACCGCCTAATCATCTGAAATGAAAAAAATTTTCTCCCCAAAACTAGAACATATGAACGAGTGAATGAATGAATGAATGAATGAATGAATTCAGATCAGATCTCCTAGTTTCATGTGTCCACCTATCTCAAGAGAAGCCCACAGATGGCTCTGGAAGACGGAGCGGGGTGAGGACCGGCCCCCACTCTCCACAAGGAAAGCGGGAACGTGGGGCGCCGAGCCCCTCTCTACGAAGACTCCCGTTTGTCCCACAAAATGCCCTGAGCATTCAGGAGTTTCGTAATCCAGAAGTCCACTTACCCTTTACCTGGAAGGACTTCAAGAGCGCGGAGTGCCCATCCAGGACGGGGGTCTGGCCCAAGGCGGGGGCCTGGAGAGGGCGTGGGTCTTGCGTGGCCCTTCGGAGCTACGGCTACGCCGGAGGTTCCAGGCGGCCCTGGAAAGCTCGGTGCCCGCTTGGGAACTGGATCCTCACCCTGACTGTCGCCCAGTTCCCGTGTGGTCCCCGGAGAGTCACTTCTCTCATGGCCTCAGCGTCCTCATCTGTGAAACGAGGGGTCACCTGGCTAAATTATGTGGGGAATAAAATGCAACCCCCGCCCGAGCTCGGAGCACCTGCCAGTGTGAGCTGGCCTCGCGGCCACGCCACCCACCCTCTCCCACCCAGCTTCCGGCCACCAGCCCCGCTTGTCGTCAGGTCTCTCCACCAAACCTCCTTTCTGTCTGACACCCTCTGCTCTCCTCTCCTGGCAGAGGTGCCTGTTCTGAGTCTCCAGGACAGGGACGCTCCCTTCCCTACTGTGGCATATGCCACACTGAAAGTCAGCTCTGTTTTCATATTTCTGTCTAAACTGCGAACAGCTTGTAAGATCAGAGGTGGCGACTGACTCCTTGGACTTCTCGAGGCCCTGGCAATGCCTGGCACTCAGCAGGTGCACCAAAATATCAGGTGGATGGATGGATGGGTGGATGGGTGGGTGGGCAGATGGATGCATGGATGCATGGATAAATGGATGGATGGACGGATGGGTGGGTAGATGGGCGGGTGGGTAGATGGATGTGCAAAATTCAAGCACTTTCCCACCAAAAGCTCTAGGCACCTTGTCCCTGTCCCTTCGCGAGCCCTCGGATAGGAGAACTATACCGAGTTTTGTAAGAAAATACTGCATGTCAGAATCCCCAGGAATTAAAAAGACAACAGGTGAATGTCACATTGCCTTCTCTACCTTCCAAGCCGGGCCTGGCTCTAGATTTCCAAAAGGCGGGGTAGGGTGACAGGGATGTAGGAAGGATGAAATCAGTAAGAACCAAGGTCAGTAATAAAACTCTTCAGAGAAACTGCCTCTCGGTTTAACGGTGTTTGGTTTGGTTTTGTTTTTTTTCTTTTTATCAAGGAAGCAAGTTGCCAGGGCAGGAGGGGTGGGGGTGGGGAGGGCTGGGAGGGAGGCAGGTAGGAGGGGTCAGGGACACAGAGAGCCTGTCGTCTCTGTGACGTGGACAGCTGGTTCTGGTTGTATTTTAAACAAAATTGCATCCCGGTGTAGATGCTACGTCTGGAATTACGACCCGCCCTGTGATCTGTCACTTTCACACACACGCAGGAGGGGAGCGGTCTCCACAGAGAGGGGACGTACGAGGAGAGGAGCTGGAGACCCAGGAGGGACAGGCGTTCGGGGCATGCTCCCGAAGCAGACCTCTTGGTCCTGAAGCCGTGCCCGCCTCTCTGAGCATCTCCACTCCACGGGGAGGGCTACTCTCGGGTAAGATTTTGGCCGGGGACTTCTTTATGAAGGGCTAAGTGATCTGCCCTAAGTTGGGCAGGAGGTGCTGGGGACGGGACAGGGGTGAGAGACGAGAGCTGAAAGGCAGTGTTGAACACCACAGTGTTTTAAATAGAGAGAGATGGCCCCAAACAGACCATGGAGAAGTTTCTTAGGAGGAAAAACCCTCTTCTCTTTGTTGGTGAAGAAACACCTGGTTTGCAAGAGGTAACAGATCGGAAGCAGGATGGGTTCTTGTTACAAATCTATTTTTCTTAACAGAATTCAGCTGTGACTCTAAAAAGCGGCCCTTGGTAATAGCTCCCAAATGGAGAGAGGGGAGGGGGGAGAGGGGATAAAATCCACAGGCCGGTCCCCACCACCTGCAGGAGCAGCAGGGCGCCTGGCCGCATCCCTCACCTCCGTCTTCTCCCTTGACTCTCTGGATGCACCTGTGAGGCAGGCGCTCTCTCCTCTTTAGGATGTGGGGACCGAGAGGTTAAGTGATTCACCAAGGCAGTAAGAGAGGCTGAGGGAGGTTTCGGACCCAGGTCCTCAAAGCTCAGAGTCCTTTTCCCCCCACGGCGGTGGCCACACTGGAGGAAGGAGACGGATGTCCGCAGTGACTAGCTGCCACCGGAGAAGGGAGGGACCGTGGAGATGTTTGATGTCTCTATGTGATACCCAAGTTTTCTGAGAAATCCTGTTTGCAGTTTCCTCCTCAAACACAGCAATCTAGCAAACGCGCACACTCACGCGCACGCGTGCGCACACACACACCAGTTCTGAGAACAAATTAAATAATACAGCAGTAATGCGAATGCTGCCAGGGACCAATGTGATCTGTAGCAGGTCGACTTTCTCCTGGCTGATCCTCCGTCTTCGGCGGACGAGCCTTTCAGTGACAAACCCTCCCTGCTCGCTTCGAGGGTGAATTGCTTACAGGTGTGTGTGTGTGTGTGTGTGTCACACACACACACTTCCACAAGACTGCAACAGCAAACAGCTCACTCAGATCCAGCGCCACACCTTTTGAGATGCTTTAACGTTCCCTGGATTCGGCATCGCGGTTTCATGAAATGTTTTTACACGCCTCGTTTTTTAATTCAGCTTCTTACTGGTGTTTGATGAAAATTGAGGGTGAGGCGGGGGGAGGGGGGGAGAGAAAAAAACCCCAAGGGAAAAGAAGCAAGGATCTGAATAAGATGCTTGAGCAAACTTGTCAGACAAAGTCCTTAAAAGAAAAGAAAATATACCGAATTTATGGACAGACAAACGGGGTGAAACGGGGAATATGCTGCCTTCCCCGTCGCTGGGGAATGGGCCCCCCACCCCACCCCCGGCAGCGCTGTGGAATCAGGCGCCTGCTGGCTCCCCTGCCCGCCTTCCCCCTCCAGTACCCTCTCCCAGCGACAGGTGCTCCGAATTTCACCTGCCCAGGTTCCTGGGCTGTGACCGTGTCACAGCTCTCGGAAGTCAGGGTGTATCTTTAAAGTCCCGGGCGAAGGTGCCTCTGTGACCAGCCTGAAGAACAGGTGACCAAACGAGAACAGTGTAGATGTGGAGCTTTCCTCCTGGGCACCCACAGAACGGAAGAGGGGAGGCGTGCTCAGCTGGAGCTTAGACTGCACTGAGGAGCGAAGGGTGTCTTGTCTTCGTAGGGAGCTTCTTTTCAGAGGTGAATGGCAGACAGACGGACATGGAGACGGAGGGGGTGCGGGAGATGGGGGGGAAAGTCAATCCCTGCGTCCTGACACACTCCCAGGAGCTGCTGCAGTCCAGGCCACACCTGGGGGACGGCTGCATGAGAACACTGACAGACCCCTCGGGATTTTAACTATGTCCTCTGAGCCCTGAGCCCCCTCACAGCCTTCCCGCTGCCCCCTGCCCCTGCAGGGAGAGATGCTCCTGCCGGCCCACGTCCTGCTGCTGCTGCTCCTTGGGGCCCCCAGGACGGGCCTCGCCCAGAAGTCCTCCAGAACCGAGTCCATCTCCCGCTGCTGCACCGACACAGCCCCGTCTGAGGCCAGGAAGAGCCAGCTGGAGGAGGCGCCCCCGCTGAGCAAGAGAGGCCCGTCCTACCTGCCCGGCCAAGGCCCAGCCTCCGGAGAGGCCGAGCACAGGGGCCAGGGGGAGGACAAGGGCAAGAGGCCCTTCCCCACGGGCCCCCGGGCCAGGCCCCCGCCCCACGC